AAGCGTTAACTTGTTTGGGTCTGCTGGTGCAATAAATCTGAGTTCTCCAAGTCTCCAGGTGCTGCTTGGTCTCTCGCCCTGATCCAAATTGCTGTAACACGGAGCTATAACACATTTTTATGCAACATTTAAACTAAAAGAAGAAATCTTGTGTGTTGTTTTCTGGCCTTATTCCAGCCAAAGCAATTTCTCTCTTCTGAACTCAGAGCATCTATTGTAGTACTTCTCATATAGAGAGTTGTCATGGTGTACCTCTCGGCAAATTTTATTATCTTACTTCATCGTTTACCTGCTCATGGTTGTCTTGGCTATCTGACCTCATCACCATTTTCCTATAGGAACATTGGGCTAATGTCTCCAACATCCTTTTACATATACGTTCTGTGTGGGGCTTGGTCATATGGAATATACTCAACCCAAGTCATAGGGTATCCATCCACATTTATTCAATGCAAAAAATTGTATTGGGTGCCCACTGTATACGTAACACTTTTTTTCTACATACTAGAGAGCTGAAATACACATTGACCTTGAAGCTTTTAAAAATCTAACCCTGCAGAACCCGGTCTATAAGACAATATTAGGTATGTGCCAGCATATATACAACTTAAAGTTTGTTAGTCAGGAGTCCCTCAAAAGTGAACAATCCCAGGTTCATTCTTAGGATATATTAAGGAGGCAGAACCATAAGGAGGTTCACACACCTTGTGGTTCTCACGCCCACTGGAACAGCTCGAACCAAAAAGTCAGAGCATAACAAGTGTTGCCAAGGATGTGAAGGAACTGGAGCCCTTCTACACTGCCAGTGGAAATATAAAATGGTGAAGCCACTTTGGAAAAACAGACTGCAGTTTCTCGACCGGTGAAACAGTTACTATATGACCCTGCAATTCCACTCCTGGGTTGTGTAGTCAACAGAAATGAGAACGTATGTCTGAACAAAAACTTGTCCATGAGTGTTCATACTACTACTCACAATAGCCAGCTGGTGTGAACAGCTGGAACTTCCATCAACTGCTGAATGGATAACCAAAATGTGGTATGTCCCTAGTATGGAATATAACTTAGCTACAAAAAGGAGTGAAGTACTGAGATACGGATGAATCTTGAAAACAAGCTAAATTAAAGAAACCAGACATCAAATGATATATAATGTATGATTGCATTTATATGTAAAGTCCAGAATAGGGGTTGCAGGACTTGCTGGGCTGACAATGAAGGGTATTGGTTGGGGTGGGGTGGTAACTAAAGACTTTGGGTTTCTTTTCGAGGTGGTGAAAATGTTCCCAAACCCTAGCGATAGTTGTACATATTTGTGAAGATATTAGAAACTACTGAATGATACATTTTAAGTGGGTGGATTGCTTGGCCTATCTCAATAACGCTGTTAAGAAAAAGTCTATGCGACTAATTATTTCAATTACCAACAGATGAAAGGCCCCAAATGTTATTTCGAGCCGCTGTGGCCAACAGAGTGGCAGGGTTCACGGGCGAGCTGGTTTTCTCGCGCAAACTGGTGAAACGGGGGCGCGCGGGGATAGAGCCCGGGCGGCCCCCGGGTACCC